AGTTTTTATTTATATCATTCATTACATTTAATTTCGTGCATAACCACATGCTTCCTTTACATGTTAATTAAAATTCATTGAGAAATTTCTAACAATGTAGGCGTTTGTACATTACTGTCAGGTGACTGCCAGTATTGAAAATCTGTAATCCCTGTTGTATATGTCGAATTGTACTGACTACTGGTAGTAATATACGAACACGGCCCTAGACCGAGCGTTTGAGAAGTGGGAGTAAAGCTCACGAGAAAAGGACACACTGATTTTAGTATTCTGTGTTCTCTCTCGTTAGGATATTCCATTTAACGCTTACAGCGCTTGTAAGCATTGTTTGTTCTTGTTTAATATTTGATAGAAAACGAGGATAAACTGTTGCTTGCAGTGCGTAAGCATGAAAACAATACGTATCCAAAGTGTTTTGAAAGTCTGAGAAAGGGAATCGAAAAAAAATTCCTCGTTTTTTGCCATTTGATTTTGTTTGTCTCTCAAAAGGGAAGTTTCACAACTGTTCGGAACTGATTTGATTCTCCATATATGTTAAATACGAAAATCTAAGAAACACGTATTTTTTTTATACCAAAATTCACGTTTAAGGGGTGAAACCCCTTAGAAAAAAAAAACGGTATTTTTCTTTCGAGGCGAATATCGTCGGAAGTATAAAAAATAGAAAACAATTTTTTAAACAAAAATTGTACGATTTCAAGAGTACTTTAAAGTTATAAAGAAACAAAAATTTTTATATTTTTTTGTTTAACAAGATACCCCTACAGGTCATAATTTTCTTAAATTTTCAATTTTTTTATCAATTAAAGATTATTTTTTTTTACGAATTCGACCATGTGTAAAGTTACATTACGACATATCATTTTCGAGAATTAATTATTAACACTTCCGTATATATGTTACCCGTGCTCATATGCGTGATTGTCGAAACAACAAAATCAATACATAAATCAACGAATAAGGAAATTGACATGATTGATATTTGTAACATTACAAATTATAAATAAATATTTAAGAGTTATAATAACTTTTGTTATTTTTCCTTAAAATGAGTAAAATTTTTTTATTTTCATCTCTGTACATTACTTCCTTATAATATCTTAAGATTATTCTCTTAGGCCGGTATTCATAGTCAGATGTTATATTCAAGACCGTCTTAAGTACGGTCTCAAGAAGTCTCGAACCAATCAGAAGGCTGCATTAGTGTCTTAAGACATTACTTAAGACAGTCTTGAAATAAGACTCGACTATGAATACCGGCCTTAAAGTTATTTTCAGCTTATTTTACGCTTTAATATCTTATTTATTTGTCGTTTACGTAATAATTTCTAAACGTACTTAATAATGAAATAATTTCTAAATGTTTATACACAATAAATTTATATTTTGTATCGTTTACTCATACTCATTACAATAATGATACTCGATAAAAAAATGTTTTAAACATAATGACTTCTTGCACCATGAGTATTTTACTACAGCTATATTACTACAACCTTTGATATCACATGTTGTTGAACTTTAGTCAAAACTAAATTCTGGATTTTCAAATTCTTCTATGGTCTTTCGTTTGTATAACTACTTTTAAACCACGAATATTTAAATAAGTTGTGATATCGCGGAGATGACAATTGATTATATATTAGAGATTGTAATTTTATCATATTATTTCGTTCATGTAAATTTATATTACTTTCCAATAATAAAACAATATCTGAAAATCTTTTAGAAAAATTTTTCCAAATTCTAAATCCGTAAACATCTAATGATTGTATTGTCCCTGTAGTGCCTTTTGGTATAGTCATAGTAGGAATATATGTTTTCCTGCAGGTGTTAAATTTGAAATAATATTGGGCAATGTCCAGTCCATGAATCGATACAAAGAACGCTATTAAAACCAATATTTGGAAAATAAGCTTCTTCTAACTACATTTTTTAATGATCTATAAGAAATATAAATATTAAATTAATAACTATTTTACGACTGTTATGAGATTTTTAAATAAAATATAAAATATATCATAGAAATGACAAATAGATTATAATTTCATTTGATTATTTCGCAAATTTATATTTACATTTTAACAGTAAAACATTATCTGAAAATCTACTGTAAAAGGAAATTTATTTATTAGGTGTTAAACTTAATTCCTATCGCTCGGTACTAGAGGGTGCTGGCTCCAACGCTGGCGAGTTTCGATGATG